GGGTTTAGGGTTTAGGGGTGTACCCATAGGCCCCATAGTAGTTCCTTTTTGGGATTACCCTATGGAATTCTAAATGTGAACCCCAAAAAGGAACTACTATGGGGCCTATGGGTAGATGTACGCATAAGTGTATATATGTACGTATCTAAGCTTTCCCGACGCAGCTGTGCAATATGAAGCGTTTGTTGCATAGACAGATGTGAACACACCCATCATGTATGAGCATATTTGTCAGTAATACAGTATATGCACAAACCATAATTACAACAACGTGCAAATTTGACCGCCAAACTTTATCGAAATGTGGGTGATGCAGTAATACAGAAGTCTTATATAACACTTAGAGTGGGGGACTGGGGCATGATCTACTAGAATGATGATAAGGGGCCAAGCAATACCCATAGGCCACATAGTAGTTCCTTTTTGGGGTTCATATCTAGAATCCTATACGGTAGTCCCCAAAAGGAACTACTATGGGGCATATGGGTAGCTAGTAACTCTAAACCCTGAACCCTAAACCCTAAACCCTAAACTCTGTAGGATTCTGTATTAGGCTTGTTACGATGTTGTGCCGCGCAGCGATTTCTCTCCAGGCGATCGTTGCCGTCGGGCCCGGCACGGTAAAGGTTGTCGTTCAGGCGCTTCAACTGGGTTTAGGGTTTAGGGTTTAGGGTTTAGGGTTTAGGTTTAAAATGGAAATTTCGGTTCTGGCGGCTGATCGGTTCAGCTCTCCGACACCTTTAGCGGGTGCTAAAACCATGTTGACATCCACAAACCTTCCCCAAACCAGTAAGACCTGTAGAAGTCGGCATCCAGAAGGCCGCAGCCCACGAGACAAAATTACACCAGAGCACTAAGCCCGAAACCCTAAATCCTAAACCGAACGTGGAAGACCCACCTCAGCGTTTCAGGGTGTATAGGGCCTGGCAATAAAAAAAACGAAAGGAATATGATGCTGTTCAACCAGTTGTAGCTAGTCTGGTAAGGCAGTTCTGCAGACTATGTGGTGCAGTGGTTGCGGGATCTCCATCTATGCTTCCTAAACCCCTCAGCAACGACCCCCAAACCAAGACCCATCCCGACACGACCTTGAAGCCAATAAACCCACAAATCTAAACGCAACGTCGAGGTCGGAACAGCTCAACCCCTCATAGTCCCAATAAGCTGAAAAGAATAACAAGAGTATCCACAAAATCTGTCCTAATCATTACGAAGTGCATGTTACTCTCCTGACAGGAGATAACACCTGAAATCCTGCCAGAGCCCCGCAGCCCTTGAGCCCCAAGTGGCAAGTGACGAAAGTGCTCCTAGCAAACCTTGATGCGACAACGCACCGTCTGACATGCGTGGGAAAATGTCTGTATGTATGCATGCATACATACATACATACATACATACAGACAGACATACGTGCGTACATACATACATACATACATACATACATACATACATACATACATACGTACATGCATACATACATACATATTGAGTGTAAAACTGTATTATGAATAACTAAAGAATAACCTAGTATATGTACATATATCTTTTTTCTATGCATGCATGCATGCATGTACGTATGCATGAGTGTGTATAGACCAACAAGAGCTAGTTGATAGCTAGGTAAAAAGCAGACAAGCAGGTAGGCAAGCGAGATATAGTCTGATGCATCTACAGAAAGAGCTAGAAACCCTAAACCCTAAAGCTAGAAAGCTCTACAAGTGCAAGAACTTGAGCACCAAATCGAAGCCCAGGGCCCCGAACCCCTGGCAAAGAAGATGCTGACGTAGTATCATACAAAGCCAAAATATACTCACAGAGCGTGATCGTCATAATAATATAGTAAAATAGCATTATTATAGTGATAGAGAGCAAGTAATGTAAGAATTAAATGTAGTGTAGCGAGTAGTTTAAGCAACCAAGCGCCCCGAAAAGCAGGGCGAGCCTTCGTCTCGTAGTGCTGCCGGACACCCCAGGCGCGGTCACGGCAAATGAACGCCTGACACTTACACTGGTTTAGGGTTTAGGGTCTAAGGTTGAGGGTTTATAGGGGTTTAGGGGTTTAGGGTTTAGGGGTTTAGGGCTTTAGGGCTTTAGGGTTTAGGGTCGAAGGTTGAGGGTTTAGGGCTGAGGGCTGTAAGGCACTCAACCCGCAAAGCCAAACATCCCTAAACCCGCCGAATCCCTGAACCCGAACAACCCAGGTGGAACTTCAGAAAGGAGGGCAAGCAAATAAGCCCCAGCCTGTACATAGGAGCCCCGCATCCTAAACGTTAAACCCCCAACGCACCCACACCCTGAATGCCCGAGCCATAAAACAAAGCTTTATAAAGTCCAAATAGAGGCCCTGATATAACTCTTATCAAACCGCTATATAATAAGGCCCTCATAGAACTCCAATAACTACAAAACCCCGCATGCCCACATTTAAGCGCTTGCACGATGGCCTCCTGAAGCGGCTGGCTGCGCTGGGCCTCTTCGACAAACGATTCTGATACTCAGAGATAACCCATGCAACGTCTGACAAATTCAGATTTGGGGTTGAGGGCTTATGCAACACCCCCAGCGACACTTCAGGTAGCGTGCAGCAACGAACTGCAACTGTGAACGCATTGCAGTGGCCTGCTGCTGGCACGTGTGACACAAGCTGTCGAATGCCTCGCAGCGTTCGTGACACGTGACGGAGTCTCTAGAACAAGATGGCGAGTGCGCCGATGATGATCTGGGCTAGTTCAGAAGCAGCACATGGTCACATGGAGGATCTTGGCCAGTCACACCCTAAACCCTAAACCCGAACACAGAACCCACACAAACCACAGGAAACGGCAGCCGATCGGACAACAGCTTTGTGACTCTCTGAAGGGCCGCTGCCTCAGTCCCCAACGCAAGCTGATCCCGCAGCAAGTCGAAGACGACGCGGATCTGACGCACATGGCCCGACCTTACCACTGCTGTGCTGATTGATGTTTGAGGGTCTAGGTTCTAGGGTTTAGGGGTTTAGCAGCTTAGGGTGCGCTCCCACACATCGCTGTGCAATCTGTGATATGATGGTTGCAGACCAATGGCCGCCACCGATCTGATTGCAGAGTTCTGCCACAGCTGCTGCATGCCATAAGATATGTACATGGTTCAGCCGTGAACCAGACTTGGGCCGTACTGGCACTCAGGTCGCACCCACAGCTCTGCAAAAGTACGTCCTGTAAACTTGAGGGTTTGGAGATTTCAGATCGAGTTTTAGGGTAGCTGCGGCTGCACGCCCACCTCACCAACGATGAGTTAAATCCAGAGGTGCCGTTGTTGCCTTGCCTCTTCTGACTGAAGGAGTCCTTGTGCATCACGGGGGCATCAGACTTGCAAGTTAAACGTGAAAGAAGCCTGCCAGGCTCTAAACCCCAAAAAAACTGTGCCCTAAGTCCCGAAACCCCAAAGCCCTAGACTCTAGACCCAACAAAATCTGAAATTATCTCCTCTGAAAGGGAACCTAAAAACCTGAGACAGGCCCTCCCCCCCACGAAGATGTTCCCCTTACAAGGCGCTCCATGCAGTATGATGCTGCTACTCTTGTAATGTAGCGGCCTTAATGATTAGAATAGGGTTTTAGGGGTTTCCTTATCATAATTATAGTATCACATACCCCGAAACCCTTTTCTAATTATTACGGCCCCTATATTATTTGTCACGAATAAGGTCACCGCAGCCCTCTGACTGATCTTCACAGCTACGAGAACCGGAGACACGGTTTAGGACTCTCGATTGATGGTAACATCTGAAGAAAATAGGCGCCTAAATATTTAGAATAAGGCTTAGGGACATGTTATGTATTGGTAATTAGTAAGGCCCCTACATAAACCCTAGAAACTAGACCTCAAACCTCAAGTCCTGAATCCTAAACGCTCGCCCCTCACAGAGTCCTGGTTAAGAGCCCCATGAGCCCTAAAGTATCCTTGACAGAACCCTTACAGATACCTCCTAGGACCCCATGAGACCCGTGAAGTCAAGACACCCTTATCGAACCCTTACAAAAGCCCTTGAACCCTCAACGCCTAAACCCCGAAGCCGAAGTTTTGGCCCTAAACTCTACCTAGAGCCTAAACCCTGAGCCCAAACTCTGCCCTACCCATAGGCCCCATAGTAGTTCCCTTTTCGGGGTTCATATTTAGAATCCTATAACGTAATCCCAAAAAGGATCTACTATGGGGCCTATGGGTACAGCCGAACATCTAGGACTAAACCCTAAACCCTAAATCCCTAAACCCTAAACCCTAAACCCTAAAATCTAGGACTCCCTGAACTTCTCTGACTGAGATCCAGGCAGGCAGTGGCTGTCAGGAGTGAAGGCCGCCACCCGGTCCAAGACGTCCTTAGGTCCATGGGAGTTTCGGGTTTAGGGTTTAGGGTTAGGGTTTAGGGTTTAGGGTTTAGGGTTTAGGGCTTTGGGTTTAGGGTTTAGGGAGGTCCTTCTGGGTCAGCGGGGTGTTTATGGGCTTCTGCCTTCTTTGAGGGTACTGTTCGGCGCTCGAAAGGGTTCTGCTAGGGCTTTTTACAGGTTTATGCCTTCAGGGTGTTAGGGTTTTGGTGTTCATAAGAAGGTTCTGAGGTAGGTATACAGCGTATACCGTCGAAGGAACATACTTCTGTAGGGCTCCTATTCTGATTTCTGTGTCTATTCTCTTCTTCAAAACCATGAATTCTTAAGGCGAGGGTTAACAGTCCACATCTTTGGAGTTTTTAGGTTCTAATGGTGTCAAGTAACGTAGACTGCAGGGTCGCTATACAAGGCTTCGCAGTACCATAGGGTTATGGGGGCTCTTGGGCTTCATGGGGTGTAGGGGCAGCATATCAACTGGGCAAGTAAGTCGAATACATTAAGGGCTTTTGTGTCCAAAGCTTTCGCAGGGTCTAAGAATTGCAAATCACGTTTTTTGTTTTTACCTGTTTGCAGTTTGCTACAACTATTATATTATATGGGATCCCAAAACAGAGATATCAAGAAAGGTGCACTAACCTCGTAAACTGCGCTGACTACGCCACCTAGGAGGATGCTCGTCTTCCGTTGGGAGCTTTTTTGGGTTATTCCTTCTTTCGGTCAGTCAACACTGACTAGATTCTGCTCAGTAGCACCTCCGTCAGAAGGGTACCACTATTTCCTACCTATAGTCTCCATTCCAGTTCCTTTTTGGGGATACCTGATAAAGTCCTTAATATATATTTGGTTAAACCAAAAAAAGGAACTACAGTGGACACTATAAATATAATTCAGATGAAGCACAGAAACTCCGACACTAAACCGTAAACCCATAAGCCCTAAACCCTAAACCCTAAACCCTAAACCCTAAACCCACCGTAAACCCATAAGCCCTAAAACCATGCCGAAACCAGGGACTGCCTGGTTCGGGCCGTGAAGATCCCCAGTCTGAAGTGAAAGGGGCAGGGGTTTAGGGTTTAGGGTTTCGGGTGTAGGGGTGGGGGCTTTGGGATTTTTTTAAGGTCTCGATGGGTCTCGGGGTTTTCGGTTTGGGGCTTTAGCGGTTTAGGGTCTCCGGTGGAGGGTTTGGGACTTTAGGGTTTTGGGTTCGAGGGTTCCAGACGTACATTATAAGCCCTTCCCCTGTATTTATAAACAACTGCAAGCAGGTTACGTGATGTGCCGTGGCGAAGCCGTGCAGATGCCTGCAAGCTTGGGATCTGCGAAGTTTGGTTTGCAATTCGGAAATATGATGATACTCTTTGCCAAAGGATCCGTTTCTCTGCAGCAGGCTTACCCTAACCCTCCAGGTACCTACTATATAGGGCCCTGGGGGCTCTAGTACCCTCTATAGTAGGTTCCTGGGGGGTTAGGGTTATGTACCCGCAACACTTCTTGCAAAAGTCGACCATCAGAGTTTTGCCTTGCTGTTGGCCGAATGGAAAGTGACTGCACAAGACAAACCAACTACTCATGGAGTCTCCCTGAAAACTAAACCCTAGATCCATAGGCCCCATAGTAGTTCCTTTTTGGGATTACCTTATAGGATTCTAGATATGAACCCCAAAAAAGGAACTACTATGGGGCCTATGGGTAGACCCCAAGCCCTGGTCCGAACCCTGGGATCCGTACCCAAACCCCAACCATGGCTGAGTACGGAGTAACTGATACCCCGAGAGAACCCATGACATGCAAAGAAACAACCGAACGTTTTGGGGTTTCGGGTTTGGCGTTTCGGTTTAGGGCTTATAGATACGGCCTAAAGTAAAGGACCGAGGTTCTGCTCAGTCATACATCTCCGAACTGCTAACCTCTGCCCATAGGCCCCATAGTAGTTCCTTTTTGGGGTTAATATTTAGAATCCTATAAGGTAATCCCAAAAAGGAACTATATACTATGGGGCCTATGGGTGAAGTGACCTCTGACATCCGAAGCTGGCTGCGCAAGGACTCCTCCATGGCAACCAAACCCCTAATCGCCGCACCCTGAACCCTAAGTCCCACCACCTATTCCTGGAACCTATAACTAATCTTGATTTGAGGCAGTTTTAAATTCAATGTCCTAAACCCGCAACCTCTAACCCCCAAAACTTTCAACAACGAGAACCTCGACCTTTCTACTCTACAAAACCAAGAAAACCTCAAACCCTGCAAACCCCGGCAACCCTAAACCTCTTGGCCCAACGCCCAACACCCCTTACATAAATCCCCAAAGCTCTACGAACTCAGAAAAACGTCCTCAAACCTTCCAAATCTTCTCAAAATCTTACAAGACGCTACTTCCTGAACATCGTAAACCAGATTGAAACCTCCCTTACATAATAGACGTAGAATATAGGGTTTGGGGGTTCATATTATTTATACTATACTATAATTATGACAAGGAACCCGAATCGTATTGGTAATTATCTAGGCCCCGCTATTACACCTTTGCCGAGGCTCTGATGCATTAAAGTTGCCAGTGCACCGAAAGACGCCAGGATTCCATCGAACTCCTCCCAAACTTCAGCGATGAGGCTTACAGAGCTTGGGCTTTAGGGGTTAGGGTTTAGGGTTTAGGGTTTAGGGTTCTGTAGGGTTTAGGGATTGCAGGTACAGGTATAAGCGCTCAGGGCGTATATGTGGGGCTTAAGTGCTTTAGGGGTTAGGGTTCAGCGTTCAGGGCCAATCCTTGGCCCTTGAGCCATTGAGCTTGGAACAACGGGACAAGGATGCGCTCTTCCCTTGCTCGGGGTTTAAGCTTAGGGTTCGGGGTTTGGGAACTTCCATGTCTATGTTCACAGGTTCTCAAAACAGCACATCAGCTTAAGGATTCCAACATATTCTAACCCTACACCCGGACGAATCACTCGAAACCCTAAAGTCCAACACCCCTCAATTCTTGGGAGTCTCCTCCAACTCGAGTCGAAGAGCTGCAAGGGGATCCTCGAAGGATCGGTGAGGGTTCCTCTATGTTCCTTGAATGTGCGTAGTTCTCTAAATCAGGGTCCCCTTCTGCGTCCCCGATATACTACGGCACCCATATCAAAGGGACCCTGATTTAGAAAACTACCCATGTAAGGGTAGTAGCTGTAAATGCTATAGAAAGGTCTTTTGGGATAAACATAGGTCTATGAGGATACAGGGAGGGGCTGAATAGGGTTTTAGTGGTTTATGCGTGGGGAACAGAAAGGGTTTCTGTAAGGGTCCCAGGGAGACTGGTTGTGCGTTCACGGCTTGGGGGGAGGGGGTTAGGGTTAGTAGAGGGGCCGAAATAATTGCCGATACTATTTCGGGGGATTCCTTGTCATGATTATAGTGTGTATATACTATTCTAATTATTAAGGCCCCCCATATTAGGCGCCTCGGTTTGGGCTGGAAATTCCGTAAGTCCATGGGTTAAGGTTCTCTCGGTGTTGGGTTCAGGTTTAGGACTTTTAAAACTGAAAAAACGAGCCGGCTAAACAGCACACTCCAGAGCCCTGGATGTCCCACAGAACTCGGATGCTTAAGAACCGAAAGTTCATGTGCGAAACAGAAACCTCCTTAATCAAACCTTGAAAACCCGAAACTTTCGACCCTAATTGTTAAACCATAAACTTGCCTAAACCCTACACAGTCGTTGCCATGGCACGTCTGGCATACGCTTTATGCCAACAAGCTTCCTTGGCTGTGTTTGGAACCACTAAACCCTAGACCCGAATCCCTAAACCCTAGACCCCCCTTAAAGGAACCCGGAACAGAGGGCGGGTGCGTGGGCCCTTAGTGAACGGGGGCTGGCAGAACAGGGAATCAGAAAGCTGAGGCACCTTCTGGGTCTACACACTCTAGCGAGGTACAGGTCTAGGGTTCTAGGGCTTAGGTGTTTGGGGTGTAGAGTTTACGAAACATTTCCAGCCTGCTTACATGTACGAGCCACTTCTCTGACATGACCTCTAACTTTTCAGTAAACCACTCCCGTAGTTCACTTCGGGCCGTTACGACCAAGGACACCTTGCCGGCCTGCCAAGAACTCGAGCCAAAGCGACTCGCAGCAACCAAAGCCTTGAGCAGCATTTAGGTTTAGGATCTAGCCGCCCTGCTAGCCACCTCTCAGGCGGTAGAGCCGCTAAATCCTGCCTCCTGGAAAAGCACGCAGAAGCGGGCTAAACTCGTAAGAGTTCCTGAAGCCGTATACACCTCAATATAGGGGCCTTAATAACTACAATAGGGTTTTGGGGCCCATTGTCTCTATAATTTTAAAAAGGAACCTTAACAGTAATATTGGTAATGATTGAGGCCCCTGTATTAGACCTACACCCCTAAACCCTAAACCCGGTTAGACCCGCCTTTCGTGGCAAGCTGCTCCTTCGCGCCATCCAGCAGGCGGCGGATCTGGCCGCCCGGCATGGCTCCAGAGCCAACTCCGCCAGCACAAGGGGGGATTCCGAGATCTTCCCGTATCCCTTCTTTAAGTAAGGAAAATACTTTAAGCATCCTTAAGCTAGAGTAAGATCCCGAATGTGATTTAAGGGAATCTAAGGTATATACTCAGTGGTTTAAGGAGTTTGGAAGATCTGCATTCTGAAGCTTAGGGACTACCCATTCTTTACGGTTTGGGGTTTAGGGTTTAGGAATCAGGGTCTTGAGCTCCGAAAGGGATGCATCGAGAGTATACTCGATAAGGCCTTCGTATGGCGTTACGATGATGCTCCAAGCCAGGCCACATCTAGGGGACTTAGGCTTAGGAGCCCCTAAACCCTAAACCCTAAACCCTAAACCCTAAACCCTAAACCCTAAACCCTAAACCCTAAACCCTAAACCCTAAACCCTAAACCCTAAACCCTAAACCGGGGGGTTTCTGATGCTTAGAAAGCTCGGGCTTCAGGTCTTCGAGGGCTAGGGTTCAGGAGGTCCGGCTCGGGGGGTGGGCTATCAAGCCTGTGGCTCAGAAAGCGAACTGAAGCCGTGATTCTGGGAGGTCGTGAAAGTGAATACATACTAGCTTGGGGCCTTGGGTGCGGCAGCTTAGCAGCTATTTTTGCGGAACTGAAGGGGGCGAACTCCTCTGGCTGTTGAGGCTTCCTCGTTACAGGCCTGTTATTGCTGAAGGCGCTGCTTTCGTGGCGGTGCCTACGCCTGAAAGTTAAGTCGCTGAGAGCAGTGGCTGCGGTATTGCTGGATGTAAACGCAGCATATCGCGCTGACGATGGGAGCTGAGTCTTGGGCCTGGGGCTCATGCAAGACAATCCAAAGTTCAGGGTCCAGCGTCCATGGTTTATGAGCAACCACAAGTCCTGAGCCCCTGGAACCATGAAGCCTAAAGACCTAAAGCCTGAAGCCCTACTGCCTAAAGACACCTCACACCCCGAAGCCCTGAAAACTTCCAGGGTTCAAGTAAGGAGTATTGAAAGCTTGTATGATGGGGGGGGGGTCATGCTTGAGGTGCTTTCGGGCTTGCACCCTTTAGGGGGCCTTTTGCTGATGATCTTTGCTTTTGCTGTCTGTGTGCGGGGTTCTAGATGCCGACAAGCATACAGCAGTTAGCAGTCGAATTAGACTTAGATGTGCAGTCACCCTGTCAGCCTACCTTTCCACCCTCCTAGCTATTGAGAAAGTGGCAATACATAGGATGGCTGCATCGCTGTCACCCTGTTCATAAGAACCCCTGGCGACCTTCAAGCAGCGAAGCTCGGGTAAACACCCGTAGAAAGCCATGTAGGCCTTTACATAAAACCCCATGAAAACAGTCCATACAGCATGAAACACCATCGAAAATCCACATGTGAACTCCAGCTCCCTGACAAAGCACCCAAAAGGGCCCAAAGGTCCCCACCACAAACCGGGGCTCCTGGTGCCCGCTGCACAAGGCAGAGCAATCGCTCCATCTCGTCCAGTCGCCGAAGGCACAGTCCACCTGTGAGGTTCCCGGCGTAACATGGGGGCCTTGATATTTGCAACAGGTTTGAGGGCATGTTCTACTCAACTATTGTAAGAAGCAACCACAAGGAACATCATCGAAAACCATTTAATCATGTAGGTCCCTATATGGCCATCGTTGAGTATCCGTAGGGCTTGGATGGGAGTTTTGGGCTAAGGATGGCTAAGGGTTTGAGGGCATCGAGTCTAGAAGGAGTTTGAACTCCATGGGTAGATCTTAGGACTGTAACTAGGTGCATCTGATTGTAAGGTTTACGGTAGAAGGTCAGATTGAATAGGGGAGCTTAGCCGTCGGGCTGTGCGCGCGCGTGTGTGTGTGTGTGTGTGTGTGTGTAGGTAGGAAGTACTCGGCTGACCGCCAGGGTTGGGTTCGACTCCACAGTGCCCCAAGTATCATGGGTTTAGGGTTTAGGGTTTACGGGTTTAGGGTTCAGGGTTCATGACTGCGACTGTCGTGGTGACGGTGACGAGGATAATTGAGACTCGTACACCGATGGTGATTATGGAGATGAATATGCAGAGTAGGAGCATTCCAGTTATGCTTGCTTGTCAGCTGTTACTGGCAAGGGGTTTCTGTGTTCGCTTACTAGCTAGGTCTTCGAAAAGACTATGTATCAACGTTCCAAGCGCCGACTCCTCCATTCACGCTGCTTGCTGCTCCTGCAGATACCGTACATGGTCCTGCATCACCACATGCTGACCATTTGCTGTTTCGGCCGCTTCTTCGGCTGCTGGTGCATTTGGGGGGGCGTCTCTGACACAGCTGTGGCTCCCGCTGGAGCTGAGCTCGAGGCTTTTCCAGTGGTCGCTAACTCTCACCACTGAACATATTCCCAAGACAGCCCGGCTGGGGTCCATGGCCCCACTCTTCTTCCGAATCCTGCCTATCCCCTGGTGGCAGTCCAGCACCGAAGCTGGGTGCCCCGACATCGGCAGCAGCTAGACGAAACTAGCAGTGCTAGTTTCGGGTCTCTCTTCTTTTCGGCTGCGCTTTAGTCGTGCTCTCGCAGAAACACATGCCAAAGCGGAACAGAAGCAAACCGCAATCTATGACTCTGATCCGAAACGCTGAGCCCCATTCCGGAACGCAGAACTTATATCTATCTATATGCACAGATATACTACACCATTATGGCTATATTGCAACTACTGGTAACAAAATACTTAATATACTTGATAATACATACTTGATACTTACTAGTAAGTGATATATTTAAATTTCAAATACTTACGAGATACTTAATAATGCTTAATAGGATTCCAAAACCCTAGGCTCTGGAGTTTGGGACTGTGATTTCGGCTCGGTGTTGTGGTGGGTTGGAACCGTTCTGCTAGGCCCTTGGGTTCAGGGTTTAGGGTTCAGGGTTTGGGGTTCTGGGTTTAGGGTTAACGGCGGCGAAGCAACGCGTCAGACACTTCATCATTCGATTTGCCAGGAGTTTAGGGTTCTAGGGCTCAGTTGAGGTTCGGGGTCAGAGCATCTTTGGTCCAGACCATAAGGCTACCAACTTCGAACGCCCTAAACCCCTGTGAACCTTGAATTGAATGGGCAATCTGCCAATCCTTGTGAACAACCCTTTCTCGAAGGAAGGGGGGGATGTGGTGAAGCTCCATCATACGAGACAGCCCCCAACCCTTGCATGTACAGATCTGAAGATATGTGAGCCGCCCACTTTCGGACACTCTGTTCACCATTACGCCCCACCAACCATCAAAGCCCTTCCTTCACCTGAAGCAATAAGCCCAAAAAGCCGGCAAACGTTACTCACCCAAGCCCCTTCATCCCAAACCCCTACACCCTACACCTAAACCCTAAACCCTAAACCCTACACCCCAAACCTCATATCCGAAGAGGCCTTAGGCACAGCTCTGCACGGCTGCGTATTGCACGCATGGAACTCCTTCAAGCCCAAGAGCTTTGAAGCTACTGTCTCGTCTGCTAAACTCTAAACCCTATGTAAGCCATCAGCACTGTAGGAACTGCTTAAGCTTCAGGGTTCAGGGGTTCAAAAGTTCCGGTTTCAGGCCGGCTTGAGCAAGGGCTTCGTGTCTGGGATGCTAGGTCCTGGGCCTCGGGTTCAGCCTTTTACGGGTCAGGGCTCAGAGCCTGAATAGATTATTCGTATTACGATTGCAATTACGATTATTATTGCGACTATACTTGTGTAATCTATATGTGTATGCACGTATGCAGAAAGGTACGCCTGTATATATAGAGAGAGGAAGAGTAAACAATCTATATATGTATGTATATGCACACACACATGACCATATGTAAATAAATCGAAAAGTCTGATTAAAGATGATTAGTCAGTCGACTACTGAAGTGATTAGTTCCTTCCTTCATCCATTCGCTCACCCATTTCATTTCATATTATTTCACTTCCTTTCTCCCACTCATTCAGACATTCACTCAATCGTTCATTTCATTTCATTTCACTTCGTTTCATTCCGTTTTGCTTCATGCTAGTCCATCGTAGTCCATTTCAGCTCATTCCATTCCATTCATGCATTCATTCATTATTTCCATTCCATTCCTTTCCATTCCATTCCAGTTCATTCATTATTCATTCATTGATTCATTGATTCATTGATTCATTCATTCATTCATTCATTCATTCATTCATTCACTCGTTCATTCATTCATTCATTCACTCACTCATTCATTCACTCATTCATTCATTCATTCATTCATTCATTCATTCATTCACTAATTCATTCAGTCTTTCTTTCATTCTTTCATTCATTAGCTGATTAATCAATTCTATGAGTTTTTTTAATATGTGTGTGTGTATATATATGTATATAATAATTATAAGGTGTACGGCGCAGGGCTTCGGAATGGTTGAGGTGCGAGCTGGTTTGTGCGGGATTTCGCGCTTGGATTCCTCACCTGGAGCCAGCGCCCTGAACCCCAAAACCCTGAACATACCGTAGTTTTCACCTGTAGACAAAGCAACCTACGCTTTCAAGTCCAACTAAGGAAATCATAGTAAGGAATTGTGACACGGTAGGTTCTTTGGGTTGCAGGCCCTACAGCCTAAAACCCTGAAGCCCGGTACTCTCAAGGAGGTAGAGTTGGGGAGGCTTTGCTGGACGTTGCATATTCAGGGGTTTTGGGATTATAGGGTTTGGGGTATATATGAGACTGTCAAAACCCACTATTTGACTGGTTTAGGGCATGAGATCCCTACGAAACATGCTTGAGGAAACTTGAGGAGCTTGAATCGAACACATGTCGGGCCATGCATTATTTCCGATGGACGTTCGACTTGAACACTTGTGAAAAATCCCTAAACCCTGAACCAAGTTCGCTCTTCCTCCGTAGCTATAAAGCTTCACTTGGCTCTTCTGGTTAAGAATTTAGACCCTGGTCGTCTGAGGGTTTACCCTGAAGCCTTCACGTTTGGGTTCCTAGACCCTAAACCCTAAACCACTAAACTATCAACCCCATATCCTAAACCCCAAAC